TAATTATATATAAGCTAGTATTAGTATAATAGAAAATTACTAAGCTTCAAGTAGCTAATAAGGCGACTACATAATATAAATTATATAAAAAAAGTAAATTAAAGTAAAAAAAACCTTAATAATTTAAAAAAGCTTATACTTAATAGCTTTAAAGAAGTTTAAAGCACATAGTAATAAAAAAAAAGTACAAAAGTAAGTATAAGCTAAAGTAAGTAAGCTATTCTAAAGGCGCTATAAATAGTGTAATTAGACTAGGCATAACACATAAACATGTAAGTAAGAAGTAGAAGTAGTATCTAAATAATATTCTAGGCTATACTATACTATATAGTGCTAGAGCAGGTTGTTATAGGCTATATGTGACGGTGCTGCTTGTCAAGCTCCGCTGCTAGTCACATGATCTCGCTAAGGGTTAAGCGAGCGCGCTAGCGCCTTGGCGCTGCGCAAGCTTTTCTCTCGCGAAAACCCTTCGCCTCCTTCACTCCCCATCCTAGTTTAGCTGAAATAGAGCCGACCTACTCTGCCATGCTTCCCCAGCTCCATACGGTAGTAGAGACAGTGCTTGTCATCACACTATAATAGAGTTTGTTAGAGTAGAGTCTTAGTAAAAGTAAGTAACTTAGGTGTGTAAGCAACTTACCTGTGAAGTATGTTATACATTTTTCTCTTTATTATTTAGATTGTAAGCTATTAACTACTTTTATTATAAATAGAATTGTATTATCTTAAGCTAAATTTTTACTAAATGTTTAACGTACCTAACAGGTTAGCCAGCTACTTTTGCTAAGCCCCTACCACACTCTACCTATCTACATAATGCCTTAACAACAACACTAGATTAAATCTTCTAAAGAATGTTAGATACAGCTTGCTCTTTAGGCTTTTAAATAAGACTTAAAACTTTTCTTATAACACGCTGCAGCTATCTATAATGTCTCTTACACAACACTAAGCAATTAACGCGCTAGACAGCCTTTAAAAGCAGAATGCTAGCTTAAATTAAAGAATCTAACTAAGCTTAAAAAAAAGGTAGTTATTAAGTATATACTTAAGCTTATTACACGCAAATTTCCTCTTAGGCTTGCAGCTGTAGCTAATATAGCTAATTCCTTATGCGTAGAGCGTAATCTAGGCTAGGTTAGCTTAAACTAGCCTAGTATGTAGGTTAAGCACTGCCCTAAGTTTACAATAAAGTTTAATTATAAGTATAATTATAAGAGAGCACTTTATAAGAATCTAGAGGTTATTTAGAGCTAGTTTTACCTAGTAGCTAATATAAAAGCTAAGTATAGTATCTAAAATAAAGACATATATAACTTTAACAAGTTAGGCTTTATAATAGGCTAAATATTAACTAGAGCAGTTGTTACAGCTTTAAAGAAATAAAGACAGCTAAAGGCAATATAGTAAAGTAATAAGAAGTAAATAATAGTTATCTAAGGCATTAATATAATAAAGTAGACTATTTTACTTTTTATTATCTTTAAAAGCTGCTATTACCTCTTTGCCTAGTATAAAAAGAAGAATCTTCTTTAGAACTAGGTTATTATAGTCTCTAAAAATAGCTAGATAACAAATAAGCTTAAGCTGCAGTAGTTAAAGCACTTTAATAAGCATATAAAAAAAAAGTTATAGGCGCCTATTAGCTTCTTATTATTAATAGCTATAAAAGCTATAACTTGCTTAATTTCTAGTAGTACTATAAAAAGAATAAGATTATTACTATTTATATACTTTTACACTTATTACACCTCTTATAGCCTTTTAATGTAGGTTGTTTTACCCTTTTAAAAAAAGTGTATAGGCGCTAAGCTAAAGATCTTATGTATAACTAGATTACTTATATTATAAAACTTAAGTTTCTACTATGCTTTATACACGCTTATAATGCAGTAATTACTTTTAGTAATATCTAAGAAAGGTTTTAAGGCGCTAGTTTAGTCCTATTTAACCTAGAATAAGTTAAAATAGCCCTTAATGTCTAGTTACATACTTTATTACTACTACTGCCTATTAATAATAAGCCTTAGCAGTTGTAAACCCTAAGCAATACTCTTAAATTTAAGTTATAATTAATGCTTATAAAAGTAAGAATTTAGAGGCATGTAGATAGCTTACTAATGTCTATAGTAAAGGCCTTTAAAAAGGTCTTAAAGAGGGTAGTAATTATTGCGCATAAGCTAGTGTTAGCATAAAAGAAAATTACAAAGCTTTAAGCAGCAAATAAGGCTGCCACATAACATAAATTACATAAAAGAAAGCAAATTTAGGCAGAAGAGACCTTAATAGTTAAGGATAAGGCTTGTCTAACTGCTCTAAAGGAGTCTAGAGCGCATAGTAATAGGAAGAAGCTAAAAACACAAGTGCGCGCTAAAAGAGGTAAGCTAAGTTAAAGGTAATGTAGGCAGTGTAATTAAACTAGGCATAACTTACATATGTGTAAAAAAGTAGCAGAAGTAGACTCTAAATAATATCTTGTGTTGTATTACTTTATACAGGGCTAAAGTGGGCTGTTTTGCGCTAGAATAGGGTGGTTTTAGTAGGGGCTTGGCAAAAGTGGCCGGCCAACCCGTGTGGCCGGCCAACCCGTTAGGTACGTTATTATATAACCTATTAAAAGTATAATAGCATAAAAAATTAAGTAAAAGACTAATTATTTAGAATAGTTGCCTATTTAGCCTTAGCGCTGAATTGATTCATGGATCCAATCCAGATCCAGGATAGCGCCACGTGATTCCGGATAATCGATTCGGACTGATTCCCGCCAGCACTGGCACCGTCACACAGGCGACAGGCTGGCTACTTAAGGCCGCCCGCCCCCAACCCTTCCATTTCCTCACCTTAGTATTCTTCTAGAACATAGCCAACATATCCTATTAAGCTATTTGTGCTACACAATAGTAAAGACTAAGCTTGTCATCACAAGAAGCCTTAAAAAGGGTTACAAAACATATACAACACTTATAGAAGTTATATAGTTAGCTAATAAAGTAGATTAAAAAGAATAATTAAAACATAGCCTATTAAGCTAATATAAAATAAGTAACGTACTTTATAGGTAAGTTACTTACACACCTAAGTTACTTACTTTTACTAAGACTCTACTACACTACTTTTTTTACACTAATGCATTTCTAATAACACTACTTAAATGTGTTAAAGAAATATTAGATGCAGCTTATACTTTAAGCTTTTAAATAAAACATAACACTTTTTAACTAATATACTGCAGCTATTTATAGAGTTTTTTTAAAAAATAATAAGTAACTAACACACTAAATAACTTTTCTAAGCTAATTATATAGCTAACTTATAAAAGCTAAATAATAATAAAAAGTAAGTAATTATTTAGTACATACTTAAGCTAGATATATAAGGATTTCCCCTTTAGCTAGTAGCTATAGCTAATATAGCTAATTTTTTACACGCTAAGCATAATATAGGCTATATTAGCATAAACTAGCTTAATATGTTTATTAAGCATTACTTAAAGCTTAAAGTAAAGTTTAAGTATAAGTATAACTATAAAAAAGCTTTTTATAAAAATTTTATAGTAATTTAAAGCTAGTTTAACTTTATAAAAAATATTAAAGCTAAGTATAGTATCTAAAATAATAACATATATAACTTTAATAAAATAAAGTTTATAATAAGCTAAATATCTACTAAAGCAGTTATTATAAGTTTAAAAAGATAAAAATAGCTAAAAGTAGTCTAGCTAGGTAACTAGAAGTAAATAATAGCTATTTAAGGCATTAATACTAAAAAGTAGGCTATTTTACTTTTTATTATTTTTTAGAGTAGCAACTACTTTTTAAACTAGTATAAAAAGAAAAATCTACTTTAAGATTAAGTTATTATAATTTTTAAGTATAGCTAGACTACTAATTAGCTTAGTCTAGACTAGTTAAAGCACTTTAATATGTATATAAAAAAGTATACTATTAGCAGCTACTATCTGCTAGTTATTAATAGCTATAAGAGCTATAACTTACTTTATTTTTAGTAATACTATAAAAATAATAAGATTATTACTATTTATATACTTTTTTACTTATTACACTTTTTATAGCTACTTAATGTAGGTTATTTTACTTCTTTAAAAAAAGTATATAGGCGCTAAGCTAAAAACTTTATATGTAACTAAATTACTTATATTATAAAAATAAAGTTTTTACTATACTTTAAAGTAGCCTATAATGCTATAATTACTTTTAGTAATATTTAAGAAAAGTTTTAAAGCGCTAGATTAGTTCTTTTTAACCTATAATAAGTTATAATAAGCCTTAATATAAAGTTACACACTTTATTACTACTACTACTTATATATAATAAGCTCTAGTAGTTATAAACCCTAAGTAATACTTTAGAACTTAAGTTATAATTAATGCTTATAAAAATAAAAATTTAAAAGCATATAAATAGTTTACTAACTTTTATAGTTAAAGTGTTTAAAAAAGTCTTAAAAAAAGTAGTAATAATTATATATAAGCTAGTGTTAGTGTAATAAGAAATTACTAAGCTTTAAGTAGCTAATAAGGCTACTACATAACATAAATTACATAAAAAAAAGTAGATTAAGTTAAAAAAAACTTTAATAATTTAAAAAAGCCTGCGCTTAACAGCTCTAAAGGAGTTTAAAGCGCGTAGTAATAGAAAGAAAGTAAAGAAGTAGGTGTAAGCTAAAGTAGGTAAGCTATTCTAAAGGCGCTACAAATAGTGCAATTAGACTAGGCATAACACATAAACATGTAAGCAAGAAGTAGAAGTAGTATCTAAATAATATTCTAGGCTGTACTGTACTATATAGTGCTAGAGCGGGTTGTTATGGGCTATAATAGAGTTTGTTAGGGTGGGGTCTTGGCAAAAGTAAGCGACTCAGGTGTGTGAGCAACTCGCCCATGAAGTACGTTATCTCTAGGTATTCTCCTTTAGCAATTAACTCAATTCCTTATCTCTGCGCCCACCAAAGGTTTTATATGGTTAGATTGAGATAAGGGTTATAGGAGTGCGGTGATGTTGTAGGCCTTGATGTTGTGGAATGTGGAGGCATTGCGCTAGAAGAGATCCACAATTAGAACCGGAATCAACCTGACTATGGCGATTACTATCCACTTTCGTTGTCATTTACTACAAGCGGGTATAGATACAATCAAGCATTCAAACCCTAATTCCTCATATGCACTAGAAAGATGTCAAAATCTGCCGACACTTCAATGTTAAATATATCTACATTGAGAAGCATGCTAACTGTTCTTCGCCGGTCTTCAGACCTATGATTACTGGTTGAATTTCCAAATCGGTTCCGCACAGTTTCCCCAGTCCTTAATAGACTTCTTAATTCTTTCCACCATCCACCCGCTAGTCCATGGTCCCTTCCCTTCTGTCTTCTTGGTTCTTATTCCTAGCCTGACAACTTTGCCTAGATAGCATTCCTCTTTCCTGAATTTCCACTGCAGGCAATCCTCTGCTCGCTGACAAACATGTTTACAATCCTCCACACTCAGGGTCCCTTTCTTAACATCTTCGCCGAATTTGTACCATTCAATGTTCTCTTTAGAGTTTAAAGTAGAGTCGGCTTGCGGCTTGCTGATCTTGGTGTCTTGAGAGAGATTATCCCATTCGGATATATAGTCAGCTAGATGCGGAGCGACGAACTCCTCAAAGGCGTGTCGGAAGAGATATGGTGGCTCCCAGCCATGCTTTGCGGTCCAATTGCGCTGGAAAGACCAGAGGGTGTCGATGTCATCTGGGGCCATGTGGTGCCAAGAAACAACAGGGGCACACCAGTGTCGCTTCGTCCAGTCAAGCGTCGACGGCGTCTCGCCCTGGAGTAGCGGAAACGCTGAATAGAACTCGACATGGGACTCGGTCAGCGCCGTGGCGAGCACCATGTCGCCGCAACACTCCCGGCCAATTCTTTTCTCCCAGTCAAATTCATAACGCTCATCGTATAGCTTGGCATACTGCTTCAAGGCGCCATTGGACAGAAGAATGCCAGATCCGCGCTGGGCGAACTTGACGGTGCCGAGGTAGCTCGGTGCACCGGAATAGTAGGGGATCCTGTAATCCAGTCTCCCAGTCCAGAGCAGTAGATTCGTCCAGCTAAGGCTTGTGTCCGCTTCGATGAAGACATAGAAGCGCGAGCTTGGGTGCATCTTGTAAGCCTGATAGACCATGGGGAGCACCTTCCACTTGTCGAGCTCCTTTGTAACAGACGCTGGTCGTGCCGACTCATCCTGCTGTATCTTTTCGTATTCCCGGAACTCCTCATGCGTTTCCTTGGTCTGGTTGGTAATGGATTGTAGGGCGTCGTGGACAGGGTAACCGTCGATGGTCCCAGCATGATCACTGAAAATAGCGAAGTTGGGGACGCAGGATAGCAGGGTGAGCAGGTGCGTGGGGAGCTTCTGGTAGATTTCGGCCTTGCTCGTCTTAACAATGACCATGACATTGGACGCGCCCCGGGCCTGCCTGCACTGGCCGGCATCAACGACATTCGCCACTTCCACAGCAGCACTCGTCACTTCCGCCGCAGCAGCACTCATCACTCCCTGCTTTAGCTGTCCGCCTTCCCCCTTGTCACCCGAAGCTACTGGGCCTGGTGGTGCGCCTTCCTCTGGCTCACTCGAGACTTCCGGAGTCGTGAGCGGCTCTGGAGGCCGGTTGGGCGCATCGTGGGGTATCGTCGGGAGCGAGTGCGTGGCTATATGGCGCGGGAGGCCAAATGTCCACAAAAAGCTGAGGAGAGACAACGAAAGCACTACGACGACGCGGGAGGGGGTGAGGACGGGCATGGCGTGCGGTGTGACGTGCGACGTGCGACGTGCGACGTGCGACAGCGTCAGTGGGAACGCGTCGTGCCGCTACATGGGCGACTGCAGAACATGAAGAAGGCTATGGAATGGCATGCGCGAGCATTGCGATTTGTATGCGTGGGCCGGTGCCCGGCCTCCCCAGTTGCATGAGGGGAGACACGAGCTGCCACTTCCGGCTTGGCTGTCCCGCCCTCGGAAGGCGGGATGCAGTTTAGTTTCGCCTTCGCCGCCACAGTCGCCGGTCTTCCGCTGTCGTCACTCTTGTTATTTGAAGACAGAAAGCGTCGCGTCCAACACGTTGGGGTAAGTAGACAGCAGTTGCCTTCATAGTCACCGCCATCGATACGCAGCCGAAGTGATATATGGCAGTTACCACCCCTTTACATCCCCCTCCCACCTAATTCCCTTCACCATCCACATCTTCATGACCCAACAACTCACCATCAAATCTCTCCTCGCCCCGCTCACTTCCTCCAGAATCTCAAACTGTGCCCCCTCGTCTCCATGCTCCTCAACAGCAACCCTCCTACTAACACCATCCTCCCAACTTCCCCTTCTCACAGAGAAGAGCAACTTCTTGTCCCACTCATCGTCAGCATGGTACCCATACTTCTGCATCCGTGCACTGTTCTCGGGATTCAGGCTGTCTCTGCGCGCGTTCTTCTGGACATGGAATATCTTAGTCCGTTTCCCGCCCAAGATGCTCCAACCCGATTCCAGTTTGATAATTCCCGGGAGAGTCGAAGATCTCAACCCCTTCATTTCATACGGCGTTATTGTGTACATAGTGCCTTCCTCATCGTATCCTATTTGCGGCCATGTGGGCTCTTGTGACGACGAAGGTAGCGAATGCGACCGCGATTCGCTCGCCATCAACCGCCTAACGTGCAGTTTCCGTGGCCGGCCAGACCGCGTGAACTCCTGCATCAGCTGGTATCGTGGCGTGCTACTTGTCTTGGTGGCAAAGATCAGCGGACCATCGAGCCGGAAGCTGTGTGCGAGGGTGTCGAGAGGGGCGTACATCGGAGGTGGCTCTGGAGGAAACACCAAGGTAGACGGTGCTGTAGCTACCGCCATGAGTGTGTTCTGCTCCTCGAGAACGCCCAGCGCGTCTGTCCGCGGGTCATGTCGTGCCTCTGTCGTGCTCTTAGGGCGCACCAACTCTAGGTCCTCTTCATCTTGCCTGGCATGGTATTCTTGAGGCAGAACGTATTCTTGCGGGAGTCGACGCTCGGTCACCGAAGCCATGGGCGAGTATGGCGGCGCTTCGTCCATGATGAGTCTGGTGAGGAAGCAGGAGACAGGACCATTATTATTGTTAGTCAACATGAGGCCATATTAGTTCCGCTATCAAGCACAGGATCACTGCAAGGCGTCGAATCGTGTGGCTTCACCGGCGCCTTGCAGGCTGGCAGAATGGGTGGGGAAGCTGAGCGAAGCTCGCCGGAAGCTCGCCGGCATGTGGTCCCGCACTCAACACCATGACGTCTTACTCTTACCTTGTTCGACCACCAATATCGTGGACACGAAAACACTTTTCTATTTTACCTCAACTAGTCACCTACCGAGAAACTTGACAAGTCAACCTAGGATAAAAATATGCATCGTTTTGAAGTCCCTGGTTCCAGCACGAGGTTCGACAGGTACATTCTAACCTGATTATGTTCTTCTAGGGCTAGTGTTACGATACTTACTTCGCGGTGAAAGCGTCTGAGCCTATATGGCTTACAGGTCGTCAGTTACCGTTCAGTACGCGGGCCTGTTTATGGTGGTTGACGACTCGTGAGGCATCTATGGCGAGAAAGGAGGGTCGGCTGGAACGTCCGGGTGTATAGTCCGTCGCACCTGCGTAAGGGAGGTATTGGAGGGTAGGCCTGTCGTGGTTTTCCTTGGTGCTAGTATGGGGAGCACGGGAAACGCTCTAACTTAAGAGAGTATAGAAGTATATTATATAGCGCCTTCTAAAGCTACTAATACTACTCTGTCTATCCTTAGGTGTAAAGATAAAGGTAAAAATTAATTATAACGTACTTTACAGGCAAGTTGCTTACACACCTAAGTTGCTTACTTTTGCTAAGACACTACCCTAATAAACTCTATTATAGCCTATAACAACCTGCTTTAGCACTAACGTACTTCATGGGCGAGTCGCTCACACACCTAAGTCGCTCACTTTTGCCAAGACCCTACCCTAACAAAATCTATTATAGCCCATAACAACCTACTCTAGCACTATATAGTACAGTACAGCCTAGAATATTATTTAGATACTACTTCTGCTTCTTGCTTACACATTTGTGTGTTATGCCTAGTCTAATTACACTATCTATAGCGCCTTTAGGATAGCTTACCTACTTTAGCTTACACCTGCTTTTTTACCTTCTTTCTATTACTGCGCACTTTAAACTTCTTTAAAGCTGTTAAGTGTAAGCTTTTTTAAATTATTAAAGTCTTTTTTACTTTAATTTACTTTTTTTTATATAATTTATGTTATGTAGTAGCCTTATTAGCTGCTTAAAGCTTAGTAATTTTCTATTATACTAATACTAGCTTATGCGTAATTATTACTGCCTTTTTTAAAACCTTTTTAAACACTTTAACTATAAAAGTTAGTAAACTATTTATATGCTTTTAAATTTTTATTTTTATAAGTATTAATTATAACTTAAGTTTTAAAGTATTACTTAGAGTTTACAACTACTAAAGCTTGTTATATATAGGTAGTAGTAGTAATAAAGTGCGCAACTTTATATTAAGGCCTATTATAACTTATTATAGGTTAAAAGGAACTAATCTAGCGCCTTAAAACTCTTTTTAAATATTACTAAAAGTAATTATAGTATTATAAGCTGCTTTAAAGCATAGTAAAAACTTTATTTTTATAATATAAGTAATCTAGTTATGTATAAGGTTTTTAGCTTAGCACTTATATGCTTTTTTTAAAAAAGTAAAACAACCTACATTAAGTAGCTATAAAAAGTGCAATAAGTAAAAAAGTATATAAATAGTAATAATTTTATTATCTTTATAGTATTACTAAAAATAAAGTAAGTTATAGCTTTTATAGCTATTAATAACTAGCAGATAGTAGCTACTAATAGTACACTTCTTTATATGCGTGTTAAAGTGCTTTAACTAGTCTAGACTAAGCTAATTAGTAGTCTAGCTGTGCTTAGAAATTATAATAACTTAATTCTAAAGTAAATTTTTCTTTTTATACTAGTTTAAAAAGTAGTTGCCACTTTAAAAAATAATAAAAAGCAGAATAGCCTACTTTTTAGCATTAATGCTCTAAATAGCTGTTGTCTATTTCTAGTTACCTAGCTAGACTGCTTTTAGCTGTCCTTATCTCTCTAAACTTATAATAACTACTTTAGTAAATATCTAGCCTATTATAAACCTTATTTTATTAAAGTTATATATGTTATTATTTTAGATACTATACTTAGCTTTAATATTCTTTATAAAGTTAAACTAGCTTTAAATTACTATAAAATTTTTATAAAAAGCTTTTTTATAGTTATACTTACACTTAAACTTTACTTTAAGCTTTAAGTAACACTTAATAAATATATTAGGCTAGTTTATGCTAACATAGCCTATATTATGCTTAGCGTGTAAAGAATTAGCTATATTAGCTACAGCTACTAGCTAGAGGGGAAATCCTTACACATCTAGCTTAAGTATGTGCTAAATAATTACCTACTTTTTATTATTATCTAGCTTTTATAAGTTAGCTGTATAATTAGCTTAGAAAGGTTATTTAGCGCATTAGTTACTTATTATCTTTTAAGAGACTCTATAGATAGCTGCAGCGTGTTAGTTAAAAAGTGTTATGTCTTATTTAAGAGCCTAAAGCGTAAGCTGCATTTAATATTTCTTTAACACATTTAAGTAGTGTTATTAGAAATGCATTAGTGTAGGAAAAGTAGTGTAGTAGGGTCTTAGTAAAAGTAAGCAACTTAGGTGTGTAAGCAACTCGCCTATAAAGTATGTTATGTAGTATAGTATAGCCTAGAATATTATTTAGATACTACTTCTACTTCTTACTTACATATTTATGTGTTATGCTTAGTCTAATTACACTATTTATAGCGCCTTTAGAATAGCTTACTTACTTTAGCTTATACTTACTTTTTTACTTTTTTTTTATTACACACTTTAAACTTTTTTAAAGCTATTAAGTATAAGCTTTTTTGTTAAATAGGCTCTAACAGCTAGCTGCTTATAGTATAAGCACTTAAGTAGCAAGAGTAAGAGTGGTGTACAGTGTGCACAGCGTATAAGGTAGGTAAGGTAAGGGCAATATGTTTCTAGTTCTATTACTCTTGTCTTTCCTCTATATAGAGGAAAAGGGGGATATCTAGATGTTCGCGCACAGAGGTTTGCGCATAAGCATTATATAACATAGGTACGTGATCCTGCTTGTGCGCAATTACTTGTATCTAGGCCGCGACGCTGCTGCTGTGTACAGACACTAGCAACTTTTCTTTTTATTTAAAGAGTTGCCTTCTGTACATGTTACTTCTCTTCTATTTATGTAGGTTTATCTAATTATGTTCTACCTTTACTTTACTCTATTTATTAGGACTTGCTTTAGTAATGCTGTACATTAAGATAGGCTAGTTACACTATATAAATAGCTTTATAAATAGTGTAAAGTGTTTTAGGCTATTATTATCTAGCCTTTATGCTCTTACTTTATAAGTAATTTAGCAGTGTATAAACTGTTTTATGTAGGGTTTTATGCTAGAATAGTGTGGGATCTTTGCATAGGCAGGTGCGTAGGGAGGTGTATATAATAAGGTCTTTTTTTTTCTTTACTTTCTCTTTTTTATTCTTTACTTTTTAAGCCTTACTGTATAATTTCCTAGCTCTTTTCTCTTTTTATACAGTGCTAATAGTGACAGATACTCCTGCCTACACACACACACACACACACACACACATACACAGAGAGAGATGTCTTTTTAGCCTTCCTCCTCTACCTCTAGCGCCGTTAGTGCGGGCGTCTTTAACGTCCTTGTGCAGTCTAGCGGCCTAGGGCGCATCTGCGTTACCCTTCTAACTAGTTCTGCTGCTAATTAGCAGTTTATTTAGCATCTTAGCATAAATGTATAAATCCTTTAGCTCTTTTGCTTCCCCCTTATATAAAATGCTAATTATAGATAGGCTAAAAAGTAGTATATAGCAGCTTTGCTATTTTATAATATTAATGTTATCTTACCTGCTAGCACTAATCTGCAGCTGTGGGCAGCAAAGGTTGTGCGTTATAAGGGGTACTTCTGTGCAGTCCTAGTCTAGAGTTGCAGTTAGGTCCTAGTAACTTTATGTGCTTGTTGTTATAGCAGCACTACTAGTGCCTTTTCTTTTATTAAGTGTTATATGTTAGCTAACTTTTAGGCTAATGCCTACGCCTTATGCGTATAGTAGAGCTGTAGTCTGCATTATAACTACTATATGTAAGATGTGATGACAAGCACTGTCTCTACTACTGTATGGAGCTGGGGAAGCATGGCAGAGTAGGTCGGCTCTATTTCAGCTACACTAAGATAGAGAGGAGAAAGGGAGCTTTAAAGGCAGCTCTGCAGAAGAAGTGCTTACAGCGCTAAGGCGCTAGCAAGGACGCTAGCGCTAAGTAAACTAATAGTGTTGCGCTAGTTGCACCCTCTATATCCTAATTAGCTGCACAGGCAGCTTGTTATGTAACGCGCGACAGAGCTCTCTGCGTAGGACTGTTACATTACCCTCTTCTAAGGCAGTCTTATCTCTAAGACTAGGTAGTTTAGCGCCTCTGCGTTAGTTTTTAAACTAGTTAAAACTTTAGCATAAGTTAATTATTAACTTTTATAAGTTTTATATCTTTACCTTTTTTATACGCTTGCAACTAGGCGTCTAGTTGCGCTAGCAGACTAGGCTTAGTAGGATATGCTTAGTAGAAGTCTCTTACTTTATGTAGAGCTCTAAGGAATCTGTTAGCATTATACTAGGTAGGGTTAGGATTATAGCCTACCTATAAAGCTTAGTATTAGAGACGCCTACAGTAGACGCAACTATCTAGGATGTTCTAAACCTGCTACTTAAGGTAACTGTTAACCTTAATTAGCTTTTCTAAAGGCTTAACCTAACCTAGCAGCATTATAGGTGCTGCCTGCTGTAGGCAGTCTGCGTAGAAGACGTTGTGCATTCTTATGTACAGGGGGAGCTTAAGCTAGTACAAATAACCTCTTATGCCTACAATTAAATAGGGCCTATACATCTGCTAGTTAAGCTTC